GGGCCAGAAGGCAGAAGGGGACAGGAAAGCTGGTGATAGGGAACCCAAGGTTGAGTAAGGATAGTGTTGATGTGTTGTGAGGTTGTTAACCATTGTGATAGGGCTACATGTGTACTAACTGTTAAATGAGAAAGTGTTTTGTTCTGTAAGTCTTCATCTAGAGTGAGAATAGCAGCACAATTGGAAGAGTGTAGTCGATGTCACTGAACTGTGCATGTAGAAATTTTTGAAATGGTGTATCTTTGGCTACGTATATTTTCACCAAAAAAAAGAAAAAAAAGGTCGAGAAGGGAGAGGGTTGACATGTTGAGGGGTTGTTAACCAATGTCATGAAACAATATGTGTACTACTGTTTCATGAGAAACTATTTGTTCTGTAAGCCGTCTCCTGAAGTACAATTAAAAAAAAAAAAAAAAAGCTTCCATGGTCAAATAATGATGGGACCTGCTCAAACTATAACTCTCTGTTGTTGAGTTACTATGCACATTATGTTGAAGTGTTTAAACTTTTTTTTTCAATGCAGCATATACCAAATATAACATATCCAAACATGCTTAATATGGAGGAACACCTAATAATATCTTACTCCACAGGACAGAGATAGAGAAGTGTTGGTTTACACTAATGAGGTCAAAAACAAGCCAGTGCTCCAAATATGGAGAGTGGGACCTAGCAAATTATATTCTGTAAAAAAAACGATATAAAGCCTTAGAATATTCTCGTCTTTTTCCACTTTCACAACTCACTTAATTCAATAAGAATATAAGATTACAGCCTAGAAAACCTATGGGGCAGTTCTACTCTGTCATACGGGGTCACTGTGAGTCGAAATTGACTCAACCTCACCTAAGAAAACATGCAAGTATCTTTTTAATATCCTTTGATGGTTAATTTTATGTGTCAACTTAGATAGGCTATGGTTCCCAGTAGTTTGGCCAAACACTAGTCTTGTTGCAGTCATGGAGTGTTATTAGTTGCTACAGAGTCCTGGCAGCCCCATGTGTAAAAGAATGAAATGCCACCTGGTCCTGTGCATTTTCGTAATTGTTGATATGTTTGAGTTTATTGTTGTGGCCGTTGTGTCTATCCATCTCACTGAGGGCTTCTCTCGCCTTTCCTGGCCCTCCACTTGATGTCCTTCTCCAGCAATCGGTCCCTCCTGAATATGTGTCCAATGTAAGCAAACTGAAGTCTCTGTGGTCCATAGGGTTTTCAGTGGCTAATTTTCAGAAGTAGATCGTCAGGCCTTTCTATTTATTGTGTCTTAGTCTGGAAGCTCTGCTGAAACCTGTCTACCATGAGTGGCCCTGCTGGTATTTGATTTACCAGTGGCATAGCTTCCAACATCGTAGCAACATGCAAGCCACCACAGTACGACAAACTGACAGAGGGGTGATTGTATGTAATTACATGTGATTAAATCAGCTAGCCTTGATTAGAGTAGATTACTTCCATAATTCAATCTAATGTAATGTAATCAATCAGTTGAGGTATGGTGAAATGAGTTCCTTTCTGTCGCCTTCTGCCTTGGCTCTTTGGAAAAACAGCTTGAGAGATTTTTTTCCCCCTAAAATCTGAGGAGTTACCTTTGCCCTAGTTCCCTACCCTAAAGGGTTTGTTACTTTCGTCCAGGTTGATTGACATTTCCTGGGTATGCTGTAAGCAACTGGGTTTGACACTTTTTGTCTGGTCTTGGGCTGCAGCTTGCCCTGTGATGTGTATGCACCTTGTAGGGATTTGTCAATATACTATGCAAATGAGGTGACTACAGCCCACTCTGCAAATGAAGTGTCTGTGGCCTTCAGAGAGGCGATTGATCAGTTTGTGGCCCAACTGGGAGGGGCCATGCCTTGAAATTGACAAGCAGTTGTGTATATATGCAGTCAACCCCACAGAGGTTTTTCAGACAGAAAGAAGCAGGAAGAGAAGCAGAAAGAAGAAAAAAGTAGAGACAGAGAAGTGGCAAGGAACTTCCTAAAAGAGCTGTAACACAGGTTAATAGCCATGTTATGGATTGAATTGTGTCCCCCAAGGATGTGTGTCAACTTGGCTAGGCTATGATTCCCAGTATTGTATGATTATTCACCATTTTGTCATATGATGTGATTTTCCTATCTGTTGTCAATCCTGCCTCTATGATGTTGATGAGGCAGGATTAGAGGCAGTTATGTTAATGAGGCAGGATTTAATCTACAAGATTAGGTTGCATCTTAAGTCAGTCTCTTTTTAGATATAAGAGAGAGAAGCAAGCAGAGAGACATGGGGACCCTCATACCACCAAGAAAGCAGTGCCGGGAGCAGAGGCATCCTTTGGACCTGGGGTCCCTGCACTGAGAAGCTCCTAGGTCAGGATAAGATTGATGACAAGGAACTTCCTCCAGAGCTGACAGAGAAAGAAAGCCTTCCCCTGGTGCTGGCACCCTGAATTCAGACTTCTAGCCTCCTAGACTGTGAGATAATACATTTCAGTTCGTTAAAGCCATTCACTTGTGGTATTTCTGTTATAGCAGCACTAGATGACTAATACAGGCTGTAACACTGAAGACAATGAGAGGCCCAGAAGAGGCCCAGTGGGAGAGCCAGTGGTGA